ATGAAAGCAACCAGACAACTTGACTACCAGCGAGTGATGATGTCAACACCAATGCCGACCTCCACCTCCACCAGGTACGTGTCCTCTTCCCCACACTCTCCCTTGTTACCCACACAGTGCCCTTCACCTCCGAAGACGACCTTCACCCTTCACCCTTACTGCACCCTCATGCGGCCTGGCTATGGCCGCCAGTGCCCTGGTGCACAGGCAGCGCCCTACCGCCTAGCGCTGGCCTGCCTTGCACCTCTCTTAGCGCAGCGCAGCAGCAGCAGCAGCTCGCATTTGYGCAGCGTGCCGGCATTGCCCGCAATGGCCAAGATCCCTGCCCACTCGCCCTGCTTGCCTATATGCCAGTGCAGCGTGTGGGCGGCCTTCCTTCAGCCTGTGACCGGGCCACAGAGGTTGAAGCCAACTCGATGCAGTTGGGCCCCGGGGCAATGCAGTTGCGCCTCTTTCATCAAGGCTTGCAGCCAGATTCAGATAGTGGGCCGATTTCCCTTTGGCATTTTCGGCCTCTCTACCCAGCATGCATTGTCGGCCTCACGTTCGAATGCCCAGGGCCTAACTAACTCAGAGGCCCTGGGCTTTCAGCATTTGCTGAATTCCGAGACTTGGTGCACTCCAACCAACTGGCGTGCTGCAACTGTATGGACCCCACTTTGTGAAATGTTGGCACAGAGGGCTCTTGTTGATTTAGGGCGGGCACTAGGCTTGCTGGGGCCTTAGCCCAGAACATGGACATCATGGCAAGGCCCCTTCTTGAGGGCTCAATCCTCACAGTATGAATTGGTGGCAAGTTTGGTTGACCGTTGGGGTTTGTTATACATGGCATGAGAAGTCTGAAAATTGAGGCCTCCGTTAACCGCCTCTTATGTCTGTGTCTTGCACTCTCTTTCTTTGCAATTGGAATTGTTCAAAGAAAAAAGCAGCGATGTAATACTCATTTTGGAGCTGCTGTAAAAGGTGGAAGCGTGATTGTCCGCTCCTCTTGGGAAGTCGAAGCTGCTGGCTTGGGGTCCTGCTCACTAGGTGTAAGGAATAAATGGTGCGGGTTCCCGATTGCTCTTAAGGATCCATACCTTCTCTAAGAGTTACCTGCGCCCTGCTCTCTGTCACACTGCCAGGTGTTATTTGTGTTTCACTGGGTGTTTGCGGGAGCTCAGACTGCACTGACGGGTGTATGCTCAATCGTATTGCTCTTGATGGATTGACCCAGGAATGACCCAGGAATGTTCATTTGTTTGCATTGTGATTGGCAGGGGCTGATCGTCCTTTGGGATGTAGATGGAGGTCTCCCACATGTGGACAAGTACCTGTACATCAGTGACAACCATGTGGTGGCTGGGGCACTGCTTGCTGTTGGGATTTTGAACTGCAGTGTTAGGAATGATTGCGATCCGGTGAGTATCTCCTTCCGCTGTAATATGTCCCTGACAATGCTGGTAGTTTTCCTGCTCTGTCAGTTCGTGTTGGCGGTTTGCATGGTCGACTGCTATACAAGAAGATGGTTTGTTATACACCAGAGGCTGGTGATTCAAGACGGTCGTGACATGTGAGAGAAAAATCAATAGGTTGCGGGACAATCATGTCCCTTGGCAGGGGTAACTTTGCCATCATTCTCAGTGAAATGAACGGGGGAGTTCATTGATCACAGCTAGTCAAGAAGATGATTGCGAACATCCTTCGACGAGTTACGCATCCAGATTCCTGTTCAATGGTCTGTCATCCTTTTGCAGTTACTGATGATGATCTCGATCACAGGTTGTTCCACAGAGCTAGAGAAGGGAGGGGATGCCTTGAGATTTGGCACCGCAGGTTGTTTACAGGTTAGACGTGCAAATCGTGAAGTGCGCGCCTTGGGATGGGTGCAGGAATAGAAAGGAGGATTTGGTTCGTGCGAAGAAATTTGCTGGCAATTTTCCACTTTCTGCTACATTTCATCTGGGTGAGCAGTACTCACTGACTGCTAGCCCACATGTGAGGGGCCTAAGGCTTTTTTGATTCCGTGGGAATCACGACAGCACAACTTGGGCAAGAGCCGATGCTGCACACTGATCTGGGAAGGTTCAACTGCACAACCTGATGTCAGACGTAGTGGCCTTTTTCAATAAGTAATGTATCATGCATTGGATCTCTCCATCTGACGTGCAGGTACACTATCTCCCTTGCACACTTGCAGAAACACCCGTTTCCTGCTCATCCACAGTGATTTTAGGAGACTTGTACTTCATGATGACCCAATGCTCGTCCACTGCACGCTACTGAAGTTCCTCCAGTCGGGTGTAACGCTACGTTGAGACTCATCCTGACTGGCTTCTGCTGACCTGCGAAAGCGGCGTTCGGATAAGCAGTGCATTTTCTGGCTTCTATTGACGGTGTTCCAAAAAATGCGACTGGAAATGCACTGGGGTTGGCTTTAATTCGGACAGCCAAGGAAACTGAAATGGGGCAATAACCATGAAAAAACAAAATGGAAAAAAGAACTGAAGCGGCGTAATGGGCCTAGCTCAGGCGGTACACCCGTAATCTGATGAAACACGGACTTGATCACGAATCTAGAGGGAACGATAGGATTGTCCACACCTACGCATTCATTATTGAAGCGACATAGATCTGAATTTCCTTGGGCTCGGCAGTTCTTTGATGATGTCTCAAGGCTGTTGCCCTAGAAAAGAAAAAAGAAAAAAGAAAACAAGACAAATGAGAACTAAGGGTCTTGCTGCACTAACCACCAAACGTGCAAAATGGAGGATGTATAACCCGAGAAGATGGAAGGATACACCTGACGTAGAATTTTTCGTTTTCATATTTTGCGGATGGTGTGGTGAGGCCCTACACAGTTTTGTTGTTTCATATGTGTCCGTGCTTCGGTTTACTACACAAGATTCAAATTGTATCTAAACCTGGTTTCGGTCCCAATGCATTCAGAATGCTTGATCAGTCCGAAGGATATCGGGTCCTGGAAGTTGAGATATCCAGTGTCAGGCGTGGAGGAAAGAAAGAGTGGCACACTGCTTACTTTTCAGTGAGAGAATTTTGAATCATGACTCAATGTGTCCATGTCATACTTGCACCGGGCGGTGCGGTTTGGGTGTCGTTTCTGCTCACCCACGGCAACTAAACCCCCGATGGCCATACCCACACACACATGACACATGCACCCACACACTCAAGCACATGTAGACACTGTGAAGCATGTACATCTGTGTGTGTGTGTGTGTGTGTGTGTGTGTG